GGGGGCGCGCGGGGAAACGACTGCCGGTTCGTTTGGTTTCCAGAAAGCCGGTGCCTTCCCATCCGCACCCAGACGCTGGCCGTCGGTGGTGGAGAAGTCGCGTTCGGTGCTGGGAGCGCAGCGGTGGGGTGATTTGGGGAACAGAAGCGTCCCTGGGGTGTCAGTGGGTGGTATCGACTCAAGCACGTGGGGCACAGCGACCGTCCTGCGCCATCCCGGTGGCTCCGGCAAAGCTGGGTGACCGGGGAGATTGCGGCCCATTAGAAGTTACTAATTGTCCTTTCAGAGTAAGACCCGAACACCGACAGACTCCTTTCACCCATTGCACCCTTGGGAAAGCTCCCCATAGGCGGCGATGCTGGTGTCCCGCCGCGGTAGCTGCCGATTTTCCTTTCCCTGACGTGGTGGCCGGCCGTGGTGGGAGGTGGCCAGTTGGGGGGGGGTTCCCGGGGAGGCTGACGCCTGTGTCTCCTTCTCATCTCGCAGCTTCGCCTGGAGAAGCCCGTGCAGACGAGCAGTCGGTGCGTGGTGGGGTGCGCGGTGGACTGCCGGCTCTCGACGTGGTCGGCCTGGTCGCAGTGCTCCCGCACGTGTGGTGCCGGCGGTGAGTCCCCACCTGCCCCCTTACCCCCCTCTCTCCGCCTCAGCAATGTGGCGCGGAGGGGACCCCCCCAGCCCCGGGTGGGCTCAGGCAGACCCCGAGTGGGGGTACGGAGCGCAGGGAGCTCCCCGAGCCACGCCGAAGCCTTCGGAGGTGATTTGGGACGCTCTCGAGGTCCTGAGGTGTTGGGTTTTCTGAACGAAGCAGGCTGTTTTCAAAGTACTCGACAGTGAAAAACGCAACTTAGGAAACAGGTAGACAGATGCCTGGAGGATTATTTTGGTAATTAATTCAAACTCTCAGAATTCAGTCATAGGAAACATTAGCCTCTGAGAGAGGGAGAGTACGCAGAGCTAGCAAAGAGCTGGGGAGAGTTACAGGGTTCTTAAGAAACAGATAAATGACTAAATACAAATCCTCTGGTGAAGTTACTTTCAGTAACATAATTACATCCCATTGAAGAAAAAATGCTAAGACTATTTTTCATCATTTAGTATATGCCTGTGTCTCCATCCTGTATCCACAAGTCCCTTAATACTTGTATGACTCCAGTAACTTCAGCGAGGTTTTCTATAGCCAGTAACGCTCACCAGCATACAAAAAGTGAAAGGATTAGGACCTTTTTTAACTTTATATGATTTAAAAACCCCTTTGAGTATTGATATGAGGAAATGCGTTGAAGGTTTTGTTCAAAATAAGCTTGTGACATTATTTCCCAGGCTTCTGATGTGCATTACACGTACAGCTAATGGTCTTTAAGATTCAAGAGCCATAATGTATATTTCAATCAAATTCACTTAAGGTCAAAAAGAAAAAAGCTCTTAACTTCCATAAAGTGATTCCTTCAGATGGATTTCAGAGATCAAAGCATGTTACAGAAAAAGCTTAATATTTGGATTAGTGGTGTTCTTTCTTTGCTCAGCTTTTAGCCCTTTCATAAAGTAGTGCTTTCTTAACAGAAATGAATAATTCATGGACAGTGTTTTAACAACAACACACTAGGAATACTATTAATTCAAAATTTTATTTTTGTTCAAAACCCATTTTGGAGTGTTAATGCTCATGTTGCTGAATGGACTTAAATGGTTTTTTTGAGTGTTCAGTCACTTACTAAAATAAACAGAGCTACATGTGCAAAAGCAGGTTGTAACTTCTTTATGGCTTTTACCATGCTAAAGGAGCAGCTCACCCTATATAATGCCTGAAGGTTTTTTCATTCTGAGCTCTTACGTTGCATAGTTTGCAAAGGGATGTACTCGAGTAAAGGTACGTCTTGTATTCTGCCCCTGATCCTGAACTGCTTATGCAAATCCTAAAGACTGGTTAAAGAGCTGATGGTTGCAAATGCATGCAAGGGGCAGGCACTTCATGCCCTAAATCAGAGCTCGGTTTCTGCAGAGGAAAACTGGAAACATCCGTGCCCTGCCAAAGCAGACCTTCCAGTGAGTGTTCTCGCTGTAGATGCCAACCTCATTACTTGAACCACACAGTCAAGCCCAAGCTCAGCTCAGTTGATGGGTCATCTTCTGGTCCTCAAAGATCATAACTCTATTAACTCAGTTAACTCCATTAACTCTGTGTAACTCAGTTATACTGCTAGCTAGAGATCTGGCTCGTACAGTTCAGGCCATAGACTTATACGATTTAAAAGCTGGAGATACTGTTTTGTGAACCTATGGCAGCTAAGCAGCTGGGAAAGCTTCTTAAAATTTGTATCATAAAGAAGCCAAGTTTTGCTCAGTCCTTCTCTATCATTTGAATAGCTTTGCAGGGACCCAAGGGTCTTCTGGATCTCATCCCAAAGCAGGAGTGCCAATGAAACAACAGTACTTTGCATCCGAGTTATTCCAAGCGCATGGTTAATTTTACTGCAGCCCCGGTCCTGATCTGAGTTTTGCTGCAGCAGCCATCAAGTGTGGAGCTACACTGATATCAAACATCCGTGATGGAGGGACCTTGGCACAAGTCCTGCAGCCATGGCCTTTGTGTCGTTCCAACAGCAGAAACACCGTCATTTCAGCTTCTTCACTGAGTTCCAGTTGGTTATAAATACTACTTGATGATGGTATTAACAGAGAAGACATTAATTATGTACTCAACTACAGGTGGTACTTCACAGATGAATACAGTAAGGGTTCCCTACCTGAAGGTTCATAGACTGCAACAGCTTTGAAATCATCCTGAGTTTCTCACGGGCACTTATGAGAATAGGATGAAGCCTCAAACATGACAGGGAAAACCAAAGGATGACAATAAACAAGCTGTGGGAATTGGCCGTAGTATACACTGATTTGGCTTCCCTTTGCCAAATGAGTAATTGCCCACTTTTTGATAAAGCTAAAATGTAGGACTTAGTTGCACGCTTCTCAGAAATAATACACAGCAAATCAGTTGTACACACCATTACTGGCTCCACTCACAATAATATTCTGCTTTTCTGGCTTTTCTTGGAGAGCGTGTGAAGGACCTGCTGAAGTACCATAAACAGCTTCAAAGAGAAACATAATTTAAATATCATTGAGATCAAAATTTAGTGTTGCTGCATTTATGCTTTCATATGTTTCTTAACTCAGGCATTGTTGCTAACATTTTTATTCTGTCCATCTCTTCCAGTAACGGTTTGCTGTGATATATTTTAATGCGTGGTACCTTTTTCTTGCTCAGGTTTTATTTTATGGAACAATGCATTTAAACATGACGTGGTGCTGCTGTGTATGTGGCACTGTCAGCTAATATGGTTCTGGTACACAGCAGCCAAAGGCGAATATATTGATTTTTATAAATGATGATGAGTAAAGTAGATCTCTCTTTCCTGCCTGCGCTGAGCCTACGGAGCTGTGTAACTGATATTTGCCCGTTGCATCTGTATTTCTGCGCAGCATCTGTTCAGGATGCTGGCTAGGGCTTTAGGCTGATCTTGGGTTATATATTAGGGCTCCTCATATCAGTTGCTGTACTACTATGAAAAGATGTATAGTACTGCGTTAATGGATGATGCTCCTGCGGCTTGAATCAAAGTTACTGGAAAGACGTTTGGTAAGGATAATCCCCAGCAAATTGTATTTCCATTGTTAAGGCAAATGAATACATGAGGATGCTGCATTTTTCTACGTAAATGTTTTCCAATCCCATATGATTTCTCCCAAGTTGTCTAAGAGGAGTGCCAAACAGTATACACCCACCTAAACCCATGCTTTGCCACTTATAAAGCTGACTTCATCAGATAAATTACGGGATTTACCTGAGTAACCCAGGGTTGAAGACACTGCCATGCCTTGCTCAGTCCTCAGAGCCCAGAAGAGACCGTAGCAGGTTGCGGAGCTATGCACCCCAAGACCAGACTGACCCGTGGGACAGAAATGAAGGGGGCAAGGATGTGCACAACTGAAAAATTTGGTGGTTACCCTTTTCACTGATTCATCGCCAGTTTGGGAAAACATTTTTGGTTTTGCCTTCTGAAGAAGAAACTTCATGACTTTTTCTCGCTTGCTACTCAACTCGTCAAGCCCCAGTCTGATGGTGCTGGGAGACGTTGCTGGAAGAGGGGCCACCAAAACCTCTCCCCAAGCCGTGGATGCCCCAGTGCCTGCTGGAGGGACTAACAGTGGGAAGTAGATGAAAGCCCCACTTATCACCAGTGCCATTTGCTTGTGACTTGTCCTAGCCTGACCTCCAGGGCTGTATTCAAGTAACTTCATCCCTGCTTTAGTCTTGTGGTTGCCCGATAGGGCTGTGTTTTATATACTCTGCTCACGCTCATCAAACAGATAACAATGTGTCAGTAATTCTGACTGGGATGAACTCTACCAGGAATTTTAATCATCTTGGTTTCAGCTGCGAGACATCACTTTGTGGGGATAAAATGCAAGGAATGGCAAGAATTTTTTGGGGGGGTAAAAAATCTTATTCTTCTGATTTGAAAATATGACGCTGAGTTTCTGAGATGAAATTTTAGCTGCTGATGCAAAACAGAATTTTAAGTGACCAGCATTTACCTCTTTACCCTCCCTTTCAAAACTAATGACAAATTTGAGGATATGAAGAAACACTTATTCTCCATTTTCACCACACTTTCTGTCTTATTTTTTGTATCATTAAACACTGCAGAGCAGAGGAATCAGACATGTGGCCAATTCACTGGGAAATTAAAGAAATAACTAGGATTGCTTTGACTCTTCCAGAGTTTGTATTGGAAGCAAATTAATTTCAGATGCAGTAAGATTCTGTTCTCCATAGGCAGCAAAAGATAAGGTATTTAAAAGGTAAAAATGGGGAGGTTTTCTGCTACTTGAGTGGTAACCGAGCACCTAGATAATCTTTGTGGAGTGAGAAAAAAAAAATCAGAGCTTTAAGAAACTCACTGCGGTGATTGTGCAAAGAAAGATTTCAGTGAAATTTCTTTCTTCGATGATTTATTCACAGTATAAAAAGAAAGTGGTAGACTAAATGAGTCACGCACCAGCTGACCATTGTGAATGTAGTGAGTTTAAATGGTTTGGATAACCAACCGTAGGAAAAGAAAATGTAAATAAATACAGAACGGTTGTTAATTCCTCTTAAAAGGAAAATCGCGTTTTCTGTTCAATGATCTTCCCATTTACATTTTGCTAGAAAGATGTTAAACAGAGTGTACAAAAGAAAATTATTTCTTTAATTAAAATAGCTTGATAAATGCTTCAGGCTTTCAGGTCCCTCCTAATGAAATCAGATCTTTTAAACTTAGGAGACCTCCTTTTTCCTTAGCTGCCATTTCGGGAGCTCGTGCCTGGTGGGGCTGCAGAGCTCCCCCCAGGGCATCCCAAAAATCCCACAGCCATGGGCTTCCCACGGTTTCCCAAAGAGCCTTTTCCATTGCTTACCAATCCTCAGCATTCAGAATTAAGAAGAATCTGGCAAATTTGGTCCCATTGCTGGAGGGGAAGAACCAGCTCATTTGGGCCTGTTGGGCAGGGGAGGGCTGCCAGGGGTTTGCCGACAGCGGGCTGGGGGGTTTCTCTTCCCTTGCTCTGACCCCCAGTGAACTGCAGGAGTTTCTTACCTTCCCTTTCCTCTCAGCTGGTAGGATTTTTTTCCACCTCCTAATGTATCTGATTCCGTGATGGCTGAATGCACAGTCATGTGGATAAGAGCTTTTATCATCAGTTCTGTTACAAACTCCCCAGGTCCAGGGGATTACAACTGGAAAAGGAAGAAGTCTTAAAATTGGTTTAAATGGGTTTAAAAATGGAATTCAATGGGTCAGAGCAAGGGAATAGCATTGTAAAGGTAAGAGAACTTGCTAAGGAACCTGTCAGTAGCTTTTTCAGGTGTATCTGCTTTTAATTTTTATTTGCTAAAATGTTTTTGGAAACCCTGCTCTGTAGACAGTCGCAGTGACAGTTATTCGAGATGTACCTTAAACCCAGCTGCAGTACTGTTAATTAAAAAAGTGCGTGCATAAATAGCTGGGAGAAGGATCTGGCTGGATATCTCAGCCTCCCCACTTCGCAGAGGTGTTTGCCCCCCTGCCGGACTCCCCTCTACTCATGATTGCAGCTAAATGACTGCGATCCAAATAGGAGAACTCCACCGGAACACGTTCTCTCTTTCCTTCTCAGTGAATTAGCAATTACCGCTTGCCTCTGTCTTGTTGCATGTGTGTGCCCTTATTACCCAGACCTTTTATTTTTTTAACTGCCTCTCAGATCCACGCCTATTGAAAGTCAAGGCAGAAATTTCATCCCCGGCACAATCTTCAGCATCCTGTTGCATAAGGGCTTTTTTTTTTTTTTTTCCACTTTTCTTTTTAATTGGAACCGGGATTCTAATTGAAACATTTTGAGTGAAAAACATTCCTGGACATAAATGGACAGCAAAGGAGACGGAAATGGAATTGCTGTAACTTTAATGAATGTATTCAGTTTTATTATTTCAAAAGTAGTAACATAATTGCTTTTTCCATTCAGTGGCTGAAGAAGTTTTCACCAATAATAAATAGGATTTTAATGGAAATGGCAGAAGTGGTTATGGACGGTAATAGCCACTAGAGTGTTTGCAGTTCTCAAATTAGATGCACATAATTGATCATAAAAAGAAAATTTCATTTGTTAAAAATCTCTGGAAACATAGTGAATGTGTAAAGTTAGAAACGATGCTGCCACAGGATTATTTTCTTGTCATATTTAATAATCAGGATTTAGTCAAGTTTTTAAATGTGTTGCATAAACAAATAATGTATTTGGAAAACATACAAAACTGTGTTTAAAAACTGTGTTTGAAAATATCAGTGACTGCATCACTTAGACTTAGCAATTGCATCCATATTATCCAAACAGTCTTCCCGATTCATTGCTTTTCAAACAGATTTTAGCGGTGGAAAATGAACCAAGGATACCAAAAAATCACAAAATCTGCCTTTCTTTCTTCCTCCGGGTCTCCTTCACCGTGTCCTGTCTTCTCCCCTCGCCTAGGCCAGATGGTGCGTGGGCGTTCGGTGGTCCTGCGGGCAGCGGGTGAGGGCAGACCCTGCCCGGAGCAGCTCACCCAGTACAGGAGCTGCCCGGTGAAGCCCTGCTACAGCTGGCTACTGGGCCCGTGGTCTCCCTGCAGAATCCAGGTATGGCTTTCTCCGACGCTACCCGAGGGCTCCTCGGGTTCCCCGCGACCGGGGGTCAACGACAAAAATCATCGTTATGTGGCAGAATTGATTGAGGCTGCTGTTTGCGGGTCGGAGGTGTCTCTGTGGCCATGGAAGGCGCTGGTGAGATCTGTAGGAAGGCAGGGGGAGTTCAGGAGCGGTAAACCTCTGCACCTCATCTTCCAGCCATCAGCAGCAATTTTTAACAATACGAGTTCAAGTACCGCGAGCTTATAGAGGTATTAAAGGAGATTTATGGAGTAAATGTGCTTGAGTGGGTGTAGTCATGGTGACCTATAATTTAATTATATAAAGTAAGTCTAACAAGAAAACAGATACGCTAGATTTCAAGAGAGCTTAGTCTTTTTTATAATTTTTTCCTTTTTTTTTTAAGTACTGTATAGCAGGTCTTTCCCCGCAAGGTCTCCAATACAATAGTGTGAGTTATTGTATGAAGTGCTGGCTTCTACTTTCTCCTTAGCCAGGCTATCTTTTTAATGATCTAAAAATGGCTGGATTCAGTTGCGATGTGCTGTACCTACGCTCGGCACCTCTGCTCAGCACTGGACCTCTCATTTTTTCACTGCCAGTGACTTGCATCAGGCTTGAATTGACTTTTTTTCCCCTCTATGCTTTTTCTTCTCTCCTTATCTGTTAAATCACATTTCCAATATTAAAACATATTAGTTGGTAACCCAGTTTAAGCAGAGGCGAATCTTTCACAGTGAGGTTTCTTGTGCAGCGTGAAGTCTACTCAGGCTGCTTAAAACCGGCTTTGCTGAGATGGTGGTGGGACAAGTGTGGTTGGGGTGGAAGAGAGCCCTGTCTGGTCCCAGGGGACAGCACCTGTGTGCGGATCTGTGGCTGCTTCTCCACATTACACCATGTAGGAGTTTGGAGCCAATAATGCACGTAAAGACACATCCCTTGTGTTTTCTTCTCTGCCCCCTACCACACTGTGAATGCCTTGAATACCTATGTGGTTTCTAGATGCGGTAGGTGGATGTGTAGTGAATACTGCGGATGGCAGAATAGATAACCAGAATTTTCCCGGGTTTTCACAAATGAAATCTGGAGCGGGACGGTGTTTGCATAATGCAAGATCAGAGAAACAGCAATATATTTGTATTTTACATAATGAACAACTCATTTCAACTAGGTATGTGAATATGGTCCTTGTATGTACGGCAGTCAGTATTTATTTATGTATAACATAAATATAACAAAATTATAACATTAGCTGATATTTTGTCCAGCTAACGTAAGCAAATTCTGTTAAACATTAGGGAAGAGACCTTCAACCGTAGGAGCTAACACAGCTGATAAAAGAATTAGCAGGGAGGCTGAATTAACGCCCTAGCATACTCCAAGTAAATAACACACCATGCAGATTAAAAGTGTGCGCATCCAGAACACAGCTAAATTTCAGCTCAGAGCAAGTAATCACAGTCTCCCCTAACCCAGATATGATCCCACGCTTTCAGTGAGATAGGGCCTGCTTCTCTCCTTAAATTACTGCAATGTAGCTTCTCTACCCTTTGCTTTGTTTTGGAGAGGAGCCATTTTATTTGTGTTCGCTTCTCTTTAATGAGGTGCTTAGGAATTAAATGTAGTTCATAAATACAGGATGATTTATTCCTGTGCTTTACTGGAGAAGAAACTTAAGCTTACTTTCTAAAGAAAGCCTTCAGAAGTCCTGTTGCCAAGGATGCTTTGTGAAAGAAGGTGAATGCATCCTATGGTAAGACCAAAATGCATATTGTGAAAGTGTCTTCCTGTAATAATATAAGCAGGACAATTAATTATAAGGCTAAAATATCTTTTCCTTGTATTATGAGATAACTGAGACTGCATTTCTTAATTGCAGAAGGACTATTTTATGCTAAATTGACTCCATGTGACTAATTAGAAGTGTCTGCATGTTTAGGAATAGAGCCCGCTAAGTGTTCTGTATTGCTGATTTTCACAGTACGGAAATCAGTGCATTGCTCTCCAGGTAATTACACGTCACAGGCACACCTCCAGCAGGCGTGGGGCATTTCTGCTGCATTCAGAGGGATGCAGAACTTTGGAAATGGGGTCAATACACCTAATCTTAAAGGGTTACATTGCATTAATAATTTTCTTACTGGAGTTGAAGTGGTTTACCCTGATCAGCTTAAAAAAAATAAAATAGCAGTGGCTGACACTGTTCATATGTAAGTGAAGTAGCTAGACATTATCAAGCACTAGCTGTCTGACATTCATAAGAAGACTAAGAACCCTTCCTTTGTAATGTGTTTTAAAAGCACTCCCTTAAATGTGGTCATGCAACGCTTCCTCATTAGAGAGAACTTTTACCCGATTAAATGCTCATCAACCTGTGAAAGCATTGCCCAATCAACTCTTTACCTAAAAGAATTGTGAACACACATGAACCCCAGTAAAAGCTGAAAAGGGAAAACTTTTCTTAAAGGCACATCTGGGCAAAGCATCTCATTAGGACTGTTATCTCTTGTCTTATTAGTGTGTTATATATGGAAAATATCAGAGGGTGATGTGAGAGAAAGTTTGTGCAGATGCTGCCTTATGTTAGTGTGTTGCTAAAGACAAAAGATACTCGGCTGTCAAAACACGGTCCTGGTGTAAATCTTCTCCTTATTTTACTGGTGGTCAGTTGGGGTGAGAGGGGTGAGAGGCGGAGGCTCCAGGTGGGTGCTCGTGGAGGGGTCCCTACCTCCAGGCTGTATTTAGGGAACCCAGGATGGGTTCTGCATCCTCCATAGGGGCAGCGTAGAAATTTTTGCAGCCAAATGGAAGGAATCCCCTCTGGAAGTCAAATCCCTGCATATTTCCTGCAAGGAGCTCGTGACTCGAGGCAAATCCTGGTTCTAGGCAAACCTCAGATGATCACATCTTCCAATGAAGAGCATTTACAATACAGATTTGATCCCCCGAGTTTTGAATATGTGATAGTTTCCTTGGCAGTTCTCCTCTGATTAGCAGCTATTCCCTGCATCCTCAGTGTGCCATTACTGCAGTGAACTTCCACTGATTCCACACCTATTAATTAATCTTCAAATGTATAATTTTGGGGACATGAATAATTTTGAAGATGATAAGGATGTTAATGCAGTGCTCCTGCATTGCTTATGACCTTACCAAATATACCAAAAAACATCTCCTACTGTAAATGACAGGATGACATTTTATCTTTTAAGGGTGTTCAATTGATTGTTAAAAACACATTGCTGGTCTTGAAAAAAGCAGGCAAATGGAAGCCACTGTTAAAAAGTGAACCTTTATCTTTGGGATTATTTGAGAGTTCATGTTTTCTATTTATTTTCTGTTCTAAACATTGGAAAATATGAATGTCTTTCCAACATTGCATGATAGAATAATGAAGAATGTTGCATGTGACCTTTTATAGTGGAGACTGCTGTATCAAAAAAATGTGTTGTTTCCACCTTTTTATATTTATATTCATATTCATATCCATATTCATATTCATATCTCAGTATTCATATAACTATTTTTATATTGATACATATATAAATACTTGTTTATAGAAGAATAAGTATCTTTTTAAAAACTTTTTTTGTCCTCTCCAGTCATTTAGTCATTCCTTGAGCCACTCTGAGCCGGAAATACACTGCAGTTTGATTAGTGCCCATTTCCCCTGAGAATTTTCTCCACATCGTCTTCTGTTTCCACCAGCCATTTCTAAGAGCTCTAACCCAATAGACAGCTGCATGAGTTATTCACACCCCATTAATCTCAGACCGCAATAGAGGTTTCAGCAGTGAAACAGTAATTTAGAACAGTGAGTTACCTACTGACTAAAGTGAAACACAGTGTTAAAAAATTGAAATCTGGCTGCATATAGTAAATCTACACTAATACTTCTCTAAGATGCTTTCGATTAGCAATGGCTAGTTATACTCTTATTTCCATTTCATTGTGGGTCTGCAACAGAAGGGATGGAGAGAATGAAAAACTACCAGGTGTGTCCAGGAGAGCCATTCTTGAGATTCGTGCTAGCAAACCCACTGCTGAATGAATGCACTCGGTAGGAGCCATTCTGTTCTGCAGATGAAGTCCATTATTTTAAAAGAATCCACTGTCAAGTGATCCAAAGGAGCACTTCCCTTGGTTATATAAGAGCAATGTTTCATCCTTCTTCTTGAGTTTTATTTACTGAATTTTGTAAAGTGCCATTTCTGCAAGGCTTCAGGCGCACATTCATAAAGCATCACGCAGGTTTAAGGTGTGCACCTTAAACATCATTGCAGCTCTGTTTTTCAGACGAGAATGAAACAATTCCATCCTCTAGAAATAGCCTCGGTGCTTCAGCTCTTACAGCATCTTCAGTCCTTGATCATCACTTTAGCCAAACAGTATTGATTTTCTGATAAAGGAAGTCTTCTTCAGCCAATAGGTTGTATTTCAGAACTGGGCTGACGAGCATGGAGTGGCTCAGATGGAGCGTTCTATTGCTTGTTCAGATGGGGTTCAGCGCTAACAGGTGATGGCTGACTTTGGTTGATGTTTGGTAGAGTATGTGACACGGGCTGGTGATCTCTGTCTACTCTAGAACCAATAGCTCCCTTTAATAAATGTCACAAACAGCCTAGTGTGTGATGACCCTTGCAGTCTAATTAAGTGTGCTGGAGGATTTTTGCTGTTGCAGGTTTTAAACAATCTAAGTGATCCTTTTGGGCTGTATCATTAGAGGAGGTGAGTGGAAATGTCCGTTCTGTATGGGTAGGCTCTGGTCTTGGACTCTTTAGAGAAGCCAAAAATGTCTGTGTTCATGTAACTGGGCACTAATTAAGAATCAGTAAATTCACTAGCTCTAGTAAAAGGCATGAAGGGCTGGCCCCAATGACAGTATTCATTTTTTATGGTACCCACCTCTTCTCCAACCTTGGCTATGATACACTTTTCTATGTGGCTCTGACCTGCCTCTGAGCTTCTGTAGAGATGTCTACAGAGGAGATCTCCATCTTCTTCCCATAACTGGGGATACTACCGTAGTCCAAAGACCAAATTTGTATCTTTGAAGTCTTTTTAGGTGGAATCAACTGCGTTTCTTCTGTCATCTGCTAACATTGGCAATGTGTGTCTCCGTTCCCTTCTATCACTTTGTAGGGTGGACAGTGTGGAGAAGGATTGCAAGTCCGCAACCTCACGTGTGTAGTGCATGATGCATCTGTTTCTGCTACGTCCAAACCAGTAGAAAACGCGTTATGTGGTGAGCTGCCATCGAAAGAGAGTGTGCTGCAGTTACCGTGCTCTGTGCCTTGCCCAGGTAAAGTCTTTGGAAAGTCATGGTGCATTTCTGCCTGTGATAGCTGTCTGAGATGGAGATGCTTCCATAGCTCTGAGTACTGTCAGCTGTCGTAGTAAGAATCTATGCTTCAGCAGATCAGGTAAATGCTGTTCCTGGATCACCTGAAAAAGACTTCTTTTGGTTTTTGAGAAAATGAGATTCCCCATGAAGCAGAAAATCTGAACATTGCATACCACTGGGTGATAAACTGGGGGTATTTCACTATTAAAGTTGTTGTGTGCTTAGGTTGTCCATATCCTTTAAGGCTGATTCCTTTTGAAAACCTGATTTATTCTTTCAATGTGCAGGTGACTGCCACCTGACGGAGTGGTCAGAGTGGAGCTCCTGCGAGCTCACCTGCATCAATGGCAGGAGCTTCGAGACAATGGGGCGCCAGTCTCGATCCAGGGCGTATATCGTCCAGTCTCCTGAGAACCAGGAGAGCTGCTCTGGGCAAGCGATGGAAACACGACCGTGCTCAGGTAGCGTGGCCACAGCACTGCTTCCTCCCGTTGAAGAGTTTATTCTGGCTTTGTTGCAAGGTAAAGACTAACTGGTATTGATATTGCAGGAGGGAAGTGTTATGACTACCTGTGGAAAGCCAGCCTTTGGCGAGACAACGTACGCACAGTGTGGTGTCAGCGCTCAGATGGAATAAATGTCACAGGTATATCCACAAATTGCCATGCACGATTATGAATGAAAAGTCTCCATTCACGTTTTTCTTCTTCTGCATCAGTTGCTCAGAGGGAAGCTGGACATCCTTTCTAACTCCTCCAGAATTTCAGTTCAGATTTGTGTGTAGGAAAGACAGATGGGAGCTCACCAGCCTTGCTGTCAGGTCAACATCACGCATGTATTACATGAGAGTATTTGGGCGAGTTACCCCTACTGTTGCGTTGGTCATAGGAAGAAATGAGTGTATATATACTAAAGGGCTGCTTGGACTGGCTTGCACAGCCATTAGTGCAACCTTCCTGTAACTGTGGAGAACAGAAGAGAATATCACACGTGTGGTAGAGAGCCCAGCTTCTGTACCTATTCTTCTACTCAACACCCAGGAATCTCAAATCACTCAAACTGTGAGGTTCCTGCTGTTGCTGTGACCTACAAATTCTGCCAGCGCAGGATGAAAAGGGAAATTCACGGCCAGCACTTTGAAGCTCCACAAGAGATTGGCAAAGGCAGTAGGGGCTTGCACATCCGTAGGATCTCTCTAAATATGCACAGGGTGAACGAGAAGAGAGCAGAAATGGAAATTAAGATGTTCTTATCTAGTTCTATTTATAATGACTAGTTAAGATAATAACAAAAGTTTTATGTGCAAAGGTTGCCAAGTAGTTAAGAACTCATTAACATGTTTTTATTCCTATAGAAGCAGAGACTTCCCCAAGTGAGGATGGGCAAAAGCGTTATGTGGATTATGTCTTCTTATATAGATAAGACATTAATGAGGACACAGAAGATCTGCATCTAATTCCCGATTCTGTCCCCAACTTCCTATGTGGCCTGTGGCAAATTGCTTAAATCTGTATATCTCTGTTCTCCATTAACAAGATGGGTATGATAATAATTCCCTACCTTGTTAAGGCAACTTAATAAATGCAATGCCTACAGATATTATGCTAATGTGCTCAATAGACTAGTATTTAACTATATAAAACAAGCAAGCAAGCATTTCTTACATTACAGTGATCCAAGTCAAAAACATTTTAAAACATGCCCTTGAAGGCACTCAGTATTTTCTTTTACAGGAGGGTGTGCTCTTCGGACGAAACCTGCAGAAGTTCGGCACTGCAGCCCGGCCTGCAGAAAACCATTCTCCTACTGCACACAGGTAACTGCTCGCTGCAGAACATAGTTGAGAAATTAACACCACAAAATCCATTCAATTAGCTTCTGTATCTTAAATGCATTCCAGGACCTAGAAAATAGTTTAGTGTGCCCACGGTACCACCTCGAGGAAGTTGTGGGAATTTCAGTCTAAAGGAAACCTTCATAAACCTGCACAAATGAATGATAGACTATTTATATGGTGTTGCAAGTTTGGTATTGTTCTGTGGAGGGGTTTTGGAACCTCTTGGTTTCATTTTCGTTGAATGCTATTGTACTATGCTGTAGAAAATGGACTGTTTAAAACTTCTGTAAAAGAGGAGATAAAAGAGTATGTCCTCTTCTGCTCCTCCACGGACACAGAAAGCCCCTCTGAGCGTAGGGAAGCTGTAGCAGCCTGATCCCCCCACCCCCATACTGCCTGCAAAAGCAAAACCTGGAACTGACCTTTTTTGCTGAAAAGTTGAGCATCTGCAACACTTGCTGAATGGTGAAGCTGTTGCCTCTGAGCAAACACAAGCCCAGAGGTTACGAATGTCCCTTCCTGCAGCACCGGACTCCAGAGCAAGAGCTTCCCAAAATGCCTTATCCGTGTCAGTACTGTGACGGAGTATAAAACCCAGAACCCTTCAAGTAGCCAGGGGCAGTTGGGGTTTAGATATTTATATTTTGAAAATAGCCTCCACATTCATCTGAGGAATTGCCACAGGAAACTAGCTCATGGGCAATTGAATGTGGCTGAGAGGAGGGTCATGAGAGTGCTCAGAGCCTACAGGAACATGGCTAAGCATGAATTTGTTAGCTATAAAAACTCTTGAGACTTCACCTTTTGTCCAAAAAAAGATCAGGATCATGTCTGTCAACAAGTGTGGGATGTTGTGGCAGCAAAACTGATGTCAAGAGTTAAATTCTTATCACAGAGGCTGTAAATCAATTGCCTGTTTGGATCATAACTGAGAGTATCAGACCCTCAGCATTGTAATTATAAGATAATTAGCAAAGGTAAACAATCTAAAAAACTGTTTTAAAGTAGAAATCCAGAAAATGGTGTATCTATTTAGCAAACCACAGACTTCTAAGAAACCTCTTGAAGAAACTGCTTAGACTGATCCAGGGCAGTGTATGTTTGGCCGTAAGAAAGAAAGCTTAATTTCAGATATCCCTGTGATTTACTGGAGTGGAAATACACGGGAAGGGTTTGGGTCTGAAGTGGGATTTTTTTCTTGTTTGTCTCTTCTAATGCCCAACACGGCCAGAGGGAAAACAGTTATTGAGAAGAGGAGTTTGGATCAAGCTACAGATGCCTGTTACTAAGGCTGTTAGGATGAAAATGTTTGCATGTTGGGCTTCTCTGTAATTACTGACTCTTTTTCAACCAATTCCCCAAATCTGTTTTGGCTCTTTGAACTGAAATGGGTTTGTGGGCACCAGTTCTGGCTTGTTTGGTTTGGTGGTGGTGAAGTTGCATGTGCAGATATACCTTGCAGTTTCTTCATAGTTTGCCTACAATTTGCACTGTTTTGTGAGAGGATGCTATTTGGTTTAATACTGAATTCCCTTTTATCACCTAGAGAGGAGTCTGCGGTTGTGAGCGAGGATATACAGAAATAATGAGATCAAATGGTTTCCTGGATTACTGCATGAAGGTACCAGGTTTAGAAGATAAGAAAGCTGATGTTAAGACCATTGCTGGAAAAAATAAACCTGTCAACTCAAAAATGCATGACATTTTCAAAGGATGGTCTATTCAACCTTTTAATCCAGGTGAAAAACTTAAATATGAATGGAATAAATTGTCTTTACAATGTTTCTGTAGAAGAAAGGTACAAGCTTTGTAGATCATAACATCAGAGACTGTGTGTAGGAGCTGCAGAGCACTTCCAGTTTCGAACTCGCATGCCATCTTTCATTCCTTTGTGCCTATACAGAGTAATCACAACCTCTTATGTTGAGAGATAGCAAAGACAGAATGAAGCAATAATATTTTACAAAAGTATACTCATATGTGATTTGGGGGGATGCTTAGAACTATTATCTGATGATGTTTCTAGAAGTAATATGTTTGGACCAGGAAAGATATTGATCACTAGCACTTCAGAAGATTCAGAGCAGAAAGTACTTAAGATTTCATTAAATAAAACATTCGTTGTTTCTTGCCATATTTCAAAAGTATATGAAAAAAACAGAGTAGAAAATGTAGAGTTTAAAGTGTTGAAGACATTAAAAATCACCCCACAAAAGGGAGACAAGGTGCTGTGCTCAAGCTGTGCATCCCAAGCGGATCTTTGACTTGCACACCATAAAATGCTTCCCATTTGAAACCGTGTACTGGATGTGCCCAGACTGGTCCATAGGACTGGTACTGTACCTGTAATAGCTGATTACCATTTTGACTGTTATTTTGCAAGATTAATTTATTGAAAATAAATTTCTAAAATGCAAATAGGACTTTAAAATGGGAGACAAAGGTGTCAGGTGCATCAAGTTTTACTGAAACACATTACGTCTCCCCACATTCTCCAGTGCAGTCTTCCCCCTCTTCTGTAACCTGACATTGCATTTGTTTCCTATTAGTTTGTAATGAACACGAGACTTTAGAAAACATGTAATGAAAGGTTCTGTTACGGGATTCAGGGAGCCATAATTCTGTCTGATATATGTGATCACACTTTGAATGTTACATTTACATATTTGATTTGCATACAGTAGTTAACCTTTGCGTTGACAGTCTCCGAGCTCACAGAGCTCAGTCCAAAGCCTTTTAAGGTTGGCTGGTTTTCAATCAAATCCATCACCCAGAAGCCCACGCAATTCACCAGCAGTTTGAGTCACAGGTTTGGGGTTAATTGCCTTTTTGTCAGCATCCGTGGCCCTCTGTAGGCTGTCTTACTTAGGTGTCATCTCTTCAGCTGGTACCTTTACGGGGTTAGAAAAAGGGAGAGAGGTGTAGGTGGATGCTGCAATCCTCTCTTTTTAAATCAGCATTTGAGGCTGCAGCCCTGAAAGCTTGTGGTGGGCTTAAGCTCAGTGCAGCATCTGTGAGCCAGTTCTCCTCCAGGGACTACAAGAAAGAAATAGGGACTAAGGGCTTTTACAGAACATGGTTTTATTTAATTTTAGGGCAGAAATGTTATAGAAACAATATATGGGGAAGGAATAAACGTACTCCATGTGTGCTAAGTGTATCACCAACCCCATGGCATCCTGCAGGTAACTCTTCAGTCTGTATGAGCCCTTCAGACCCCAGCTCAAGGCTGGTGCTCTTCAAATCACTCCCCTTTGTCTAACTTCTTGACAAAATATGTAATTACTCCCCTTCAACAGGCTCTCAGGCTTACTAGTCTGGGCATTTGCAATAATTACTGCTAGCTGAGCCAGGAAACCGCTGTTACCTACCATTACACTCTTGATAGCAGGCCTATGGTGAATGCTCCCTGTATGGATGGCATTTACTGCCCTTCAGTACCGTAGTCCTTGACATTTGTGTATGTCTAAAGACTTATATCTGTCAGTAAAAGTATATGTGCCTTTCTCCATTTAATTTGTGATTTCCCTTCCCATTTACAGTTTGGAACACAAATTTTATTACGATTTAATAAGGCTGATGTTTTTGTTCTTTTAAATGCTCTGCAGGAGTGCACAGAACTGATTTCGAATCAGGCTGTGTTTTTCCTTTCTTTACCACACTCTGGGAGGCTAGAGTTCAGGTACAGAAACTTCTTTCAAGTTGAGAGGCAATTTAAATAGCATTGTTTAAATTGTAGGATGACATGGTCCAATGCCTTTATGTTGGGGATGGAGAGCATAGCTGCCTTCATAGCAGACATGGTGGGATGCCTTTTTGTGGCTGTGACAGTCCCTTTGTAGGACTGCTAAATGTTTCTTGGCCATGTCCAGTTGAGAGGGCAACAAATTTCATACCCAGACTTCAGCAAAACAAAAAAACCAAAACAAACCCAGACCTGATGAACGGAGCTCTTCTCACATGGGAGATAGGGTGTAAGTGTTTTGCAGACAAGAGCAAATCTGTGAGAGGTACTCAGCCTTTCCACAAAGCCTGGAAGAAAAAAGAGAAAGAATGGGTTCTGATTAAATATGTTTTCCTTTGAAAAAATTCATCATTCAAACATAAAATGTAAAACAGGCTCAGTCATTGTCCATAAAGTAGCTCCCCACTCGCATGACTGAATTTGAAATGGCCTCTGTCAAACCATGTCTGTGGGCACGGCGCAGGTTCATATTCCTGCCTCCAGTATGTATTAACAGCTCTGTTGATGTGAATCAGCTCAGACTACTGCTGCATGGAAAAAATACGATCACTTCTCCCCACAAGGAACACTGTACAGCCAGAATGGAGCAAGAAGCAGAAATATTGATCTTATAAAAAATATTACTATTATTAATGCAAAGCTTGTAATTAAGGACCTGACCAAATAACCTGTTTTGAGACTTTCTATCAGAAAGAAATGTTTGAACACACTCGAGCTCATATGTGTATGGAGAGGTTCCTGCAAGAGTCACAGAGTGGGTCCCCTGTCGTTGCAACCCACACAGTCCTATCAAGAACCTTACTTTGTCTTAAAGCCAGTTATGTCTCCTGCTCCTGTGGCCCAACTAGAAAGCTCTTGCACAGCTTTATTCCTCTTACTATTACAAAGCATATTCTTGTTTTTATTCTAAGCCGAATTTATTCCCTTTTGTTGCCCAAGTGTTTTTCAGCTCTAAGTAGCTTATTCACTTGTGCTTGCTGGTGTTTACCCCAATTGACCCCCAAGTATTTCTGGAGGAATGTCAGTCATCACTGGTCTCCACTTGGACATCGAGCCGTTGACTGCAACTCTTTGAGTG